ATTTATCATAGTATTAATAAGTTCTTTAAAAATTTCACTTTTATTTCAATAATATAAAATCTTTACAACCAATTCTAGAAACAACAGAATTAGTTAAAGTAGAAATATTTAATTCATCTTTCTCAATTTTATATATCTTTTTTATTAATTCAAAGTCTGTAAACTCAGACAACCTTGAAACCGATATCCTTTCTCCTTTTATACTATCTATAAGTACCTCTGACGTTGATTTTTCATCATCTTTTCTAGATACAAGCACTATTAATATGTTTTTGTCATTATTACCGATACCAAATTCTGTTAGGGCACGTAGTATGTTCTTTGACATTGATAAATTAAATAATACTTCAGTATACAAATTTTTTGTAGTGAGTTGATTCATTTTTGCACTAATTACTGCTTTATTTGCAGCTACTATTAGTTGTAAAGGGTCCACTACAAGCCCTGCTTTTATAACAGAACAACAAAGTTCACCATTCATAACTTTTTTCCGTATTTCACTTGAATTTTGCACATCTTTGAATAAATATAATGCGCAGAACATTTCTGTTTCAGCATCTAATGATACTATATAGTCATCCATTTTTTATTATTCAATTTACAGTAATAGGTTACAAATTGTAGTTACGAGTTGTAATGATATATTGTGACATCCAAGTATTACGTTTGTTTTGTTTTTTTCTACAATATTTTTGTTTCTGTCTACAAAGCAATCTTGCAAAAACTGACAAATATTTTCCACATTTTATCTTAAAACTGGTTATATCAACATCTCACTCTTAAATTTAAAACTGACTATGTATAACATTAAGTATATAATTATATAGTTATTCGCCCAAACTTACAACAAAAATGTAGGGATACCTTCTATTGATGCTACTAGAGGGCGATGATTTGCGACTAGTTATTTTAGATTTTTAATTTGTACCAATTATTTTAAATTGGAATTTTCTAAATATGATTTTACTCGATTCAAACAAAATTTAATGTGTGAGGTTTACCGACAAAATGTAATTATTGGGGTTAAGGTATATACAATAAATATTTTTCCAATACGTACATAAGATTACATCGAAAAATATATGTGTACTATTTAATAATACTTGTATAATTACAAATTTCTAACTTAATATGTTATTAGAATTTTAAGAAACATAACAATTATATATAATTACATTGAAAAATTAACTTAAACATTTCTAAATTATTAAATGGTAAGTTAAAATAATGTAGTT